GCTGCACGTGGAGCCCAGACCAGAAGAGGCTTGGTGCATCCTGGAACACGTGGAAGGTGACGTTTACCCCGTTCACTCTGAGGCAGAGATGAGCCACTTTGCTGTACGTGCCAGCACAGGACAGCTGCCTGCCTGAATGTTCCGAATCACACATCGGGTTCCTTTGAAACCCTTGAGTGGTTTCCTGTGGTGTCTGTGTGGGTGTAGGTCTGTCAGCGAGCTGACGCTGGCAATGGACTGTCTGAGCCGGGACTGTCACCAGGAAGGGCCAACGCACCCGTGTTGTAACTAATGTTACGCTGGAGGCCCCAACGATGCACGTCCCCTGGGATTTATGCCCTTGGGTACGCCCCCTGCTACTCCCGAGCCCACCCCCCACTGGCTTGGCCACTTGACCTATATAGTCTACCGGACATTAGCACACATGATGCAAAGGCTTGATAAGCACCCGCACAACAGTACTTGCTGTGTTAGTCACTCAGTCGTATCCGACTCTTTGTGATCCTGTAGACTAGCCCAACAGGCTCCTCTGCCTACGCGATCATCCAGGCAAGAACACTGGACCGGGTTGCCATGTCACAGTGCCTACCCTCCTGGAGTGCTCCCTCCTGAACCCAGCTGCCTGCCCCACCGTGAGGCAGCCTAAGTGAAGCAACATGAACAAGAGCCCAGGCTGAGCGCTTTTCTAAATGAGCTAATGTGGCTAAAGCACGTAGAACCCCAGAAGGGCTGTGAGGAAGCCCTGGTCCTGCAAACACAACTAAAGAGGGCTTACCCTTGAGCACAAGCCATCAAGAATGAAAGAAGACTCTGCTTTCTTCTAGGCCCACTTCAGCACCACCCACACATTGGAACATTGATCTCTGTGCGAAGTATATAATTGCCTTAAAGTGTGTAATCTGCCAGCTCTTTCTCTGTTCCTCTTGGTAGAACTTCTGAAGGCTGTTGTTCAAGCAGAAATCTTGCCAGCTGTTTTGGCCTTTTCATAAACAGGTGATGTCACGTTCACGTCTGAATCCTCAGTAGTATACTATTTTCCAGTTTAACTCACATGTCTTTATAGGTATGGAGTGGCTTATGAAGGTCACAAAAACACTCAGAGCCTAGTAATGGTTTTCAAACCATGTGTTTCAGCCCATTAGTGAGTTGTGAAATCAAAGGTGACCACTGGCATTACAAAGTAATGACACAGAATAAAATAAGTCAAAATTCGTAATATAGTAAAGGCAAATACTGTTTTATGAAACTTTTCAGCCACATATCTAGATATGAAAACTGGATGCAATGTAAAATGTAATGTAAATGTGTATTTTGCTTGGCAGGGAGTGGGGAGGATAGTGATCAAAAACAGTGAAAACACAAGTAAAGGTTGATGAGCTCTGTCTGAACTTGACTCCTTGGGCTGTGTAAGGTGATCTTTTGATTTCTGCATTCAGTCTCAGATTCTAGCATTGTTCATTTTCTTTTGCCTGTGCATAAACTTAACTGCTTTCTATAGTTACTGTTGCCTATTTCTGTCAGTTTTGGGGCAGGAAGTCTGTTGTTGTTCAGTTGCTGTCATGTCTGACTCTCCAACCCCATGGACAGCAGCATGCCAAGGCCTCCCTGTCCATCACTATCTCCCAGAGTTTGCTCAGACTCATGTCCATTGAGTCGGTGATGCCATCCAGCCATCTCTTCCTCTGTCACCCCCCTTTCCACCTGCCTTCAATCTTTCCCAGCATCATGGTCTTTTTCAATGAGTCAGCTCTTCACATTAGGTGGCCAAAGTATTAGAGATTCAGCTTCAATATCAACCTTCCAATGAATATTCAGGGTTGATTTCCTTTGGGATTGACTGGTTTGATCTTTCTGTCCAAGGGACTCTCAGGAGTCTTCTCCAGCAATACATTTCTGTTGTAATCATGCCCAAATCACAGGGGCTTAACATAATCAAGGATTTATTTCCTCATTCACATCCCTGTCTTGTAGTTGCTGCTGCTTGAGTGTTAGTGGGTTCACACGGAGTGTCAAAGGGTTTGTTTAGCCCTTAAGTCGTGTCTGACTCTGCAAACCCATGGACTGTCGCCCACCAGGCTCCTCTGTCTATGGGATTTCCCAGGCAAGAATACTGGAGTGGGTTGCCATTTCCTTCTCCAGGGGTTCCTCCCAACTGAGGGATTGAACCTGTGTTTCCTGCACTGGCAGGCAGATTCTTTACCACTGAGCCACCAGGGAAACCTGTTGTGTCAGAGAGTGCCTATGTTCAAAGGGACAGGGGGATCCTTTTGTAGTTCATGAGTATGATGATTGGGTGTTCACACTGCTGCATGATATGTGCCTCCCTCCAAACCTTGTTACAACATCGGCACATTACCTTTCTGACGTTAAAAAAAAAAGGGGGGACAGGGGAAGGTAAAATCACATAAAAGGCAACCAGGCAAGATGGGAATGAATTCCAATGTGAAGGAAATGCTTACTACCCTCTGTTATGGACTGAGTCATGTGCTGCCATGCCCCTCCTCCCCAGTTCATCTGTTGAAGCCCTAACCCATAATTTAGAGATAGGGCCTTTAGGGTGATAATTAAGGATAAATGAGGTCACACAGGTGGGGCCCTACTCCCATAAGACTGGTGGCCTCATAAGAAGTGGAAGAAAGAGCAGAGATTACTCTCTCTTGCCGAGTGTGCACAGAGGAAGTTACAGAAAAAGGTCTCACCAGAAACCAACCCTGACAGCACCTTGACCTTGGACTTTCAGTCTCTGTAACTCCGTAACTCCATAAGTTGGACTTCCAGCCTCCAGCAGTAAATTTCTGTTGTTTAAGCCAGCTAACCTGTTATGGCAGTCCAAGCAGACTAATACATGCCCCCCCCCATCATTGCCTGGGTTGATGAGCTTTGTAAATCAGTGTCAACCAGTGCAAATACTTGGAATACAAACAGCCCAATTTCTTAAGACTTACTTTGACATTTATGTTTCTTGAAATGTAAAGACATGATGATTTTTCCTAAAGAGTTAGTGAGGAGTGACTTCCGTGGTGGTCCAGTGATTAAGACTCTGAGATTCCAATGCCAAGGGCATGGGTCTGATCCCCAGGTGGGGAACAAAAATCCCACATGCAGTGTGGCAGGGCCAGAAATAAATTATTTTTTTTTTTAAGAATTAGTTGGTGGGGGGTGGGGCAGGGGAAGGAGAAGGATGTATACATTGAGGCTGAAATCCTTCCTGGACCTTTGTGGGATACTAAAAGAAAAATATACACAAGTGACTAGGATGTTCATTTACATGGAGTTAAATACCCAATTACAGAGGAACTATGACTTAAATTTTGGTAGAGTTATTCAAAGGAATAATAAGCATAATGATAATTAAGAAGACTGTGTGGCAACACGGAAAAACATTTCTAAGCATTGCTTAGTAAGTAAATTATAAATATTTATTTTGTTGTAACTATAAGACAGTGAATGTGGTCAAATCATAGCAAAGAAAGTGTAAAACTTAAAATAGTTTTGTTAGAGTCATGGAATTTTAGTTATATTTGTTTTTGCTTTTAAAATTTTCTTGAAAATTATTTACTGGGTTTCTATAAAATTCACTTTCCACCATTTTGAAAAAATTTCTCCCAATTATGGAAAACTTTAAAAAAAAAAGGGGGGGCGGGGAGAAAAAATATTTTCTCATGTTCCCAGCACATAGGAACTATTACTTTTGACTTTTCAGTGTACAGATGACTCATTTTTCTGTGTACAAGATTTGGTATGTATGTCTTCAATGCATATACAAAATCTATGAGCATAATCACTATAAATGTCTTTCTTAAGTATCTTGAGTCAGGGATCAGTCCAGATTCATTGGAGTCGAAGCTCACACAGCTGAGGAGTGCCTCTTTGGGAGGAATAATGAAAAATTGCCAAGATAAAATTAGGTGTTACCCCATGCACTGTAGCCTGCCAGGCTCCTCCCTTCATGGGATTTCTCAGGCAAGGATACAGGAGTGGGTTGCCATTTCCTTCTCCAGGAGAGCTTCCTGACCCAGGGATCAAAACAGCATCTCCTGCTTGGTAGGTGGATTCTTTAACACTGAGTCATCTGGGAAGCCTCAAGATGGTGACTTAACAAAGATAAATTGTGAAACAGCAACATTTGCATTTCTAATGCCTTTGAGTCTGGTAGAAAATTTTATAGCAAGAACAAAGCAGTAAAAACCATCTCAGAATCTGCAAGACTCTGTGGAAGGGGCTCTACCTTTCAAGTCTTCCTATACAAATCTTTTCAGTTCCATTGCGTATAAAATTTAACTTACTGCCACATAATGCATACAACTATTTTAAAATGTTTATAGTACATGGATAATTATCATATGGCATTCACATTTGTGAGGCTGGTGGCCATGTACCTTGTTCAAACAATTACACACAAATCAGAAAATTTTGTGCTGAGATATTTGAATATTCATGATTCCATAAAAATGCCACTCTCATGTCTGGAACATTATGCCATATGGGTTTTAGCAAACATGAAAGTCAACTTGCACTTTTCATAAGCACCTACCCACAAGAATGTCATGTGCAATAATGACAAATTCTGACTGCATCTGATTCTTTTATATGAAAGGCATTTGTTCAGTTTCTCACCACTTTGAAAATGTCTGGTTTAGAATATGGTGACTTCTCAGAAGCCACCCCATGTCCACTACATTTTTTCCATTTCTTCCTTTTGTAGGTTCTATAGTAAAGCATTGGTGGGCACTCATGGCTAAAGGTCCTCAACAGTGATTAACTTCACACTTCCCTACTGTCTGGATGACTGGCTGTCTGGGATAGATGACCCAGAGCTTGCTATTCCCACAGTCATTTCCATAAATGTCAACTCTGTGTGGGAGTCTTAGGGTTGTGTTGAGCACAAAGGCTTGTTTACAGTGTATTGTTTATCAGGAGTATGACTGGGTCAAATGTAGTAAGCGATGTGCTATGGCTTAAGGCTTTGCTGGGTCCCAGCACACATGGAGTGGGTCTACCCAGTATGAGTTCTCTGGTGCTTGGTAAGGGAGGAACTGTGTGTGAAGGCCTTCCCACAGTCCCTGCACTCATATGGCTTCTCTCCTGTGTGGATCCTCCGGTGCTGAGTGAGGTGGGTGCTCTGCCTAAAGGACTTTCCGCAATCCTGGCACTCGTAGGGCTTTTCCCCAGTGTGTGTCCTCTCGTGCTGGCTGAGCGATGAGCTGTGGCTGAAGGATTTTCCACATTCATTGCACCCATAGGGTTTTTCCTTGGTGTGAATCCTCTGGTGTTCTATGAGGAGGGAGCTCTGGCTGAAGGCTCTGCCACACTGATTACACTCATAGGGCTTCTCTCCTGTGTGGATCCGCTGGTGTTGAATGAGTGGAGCAAGCTGGCTGAAGGCTCTGCCACACTCATTACACTCATAGGGCTTCTCCCCAGTATGGATCCGCTGGTGTTTGGTCAGGGATGAGCTGTGGCTGAAGGCCTTGCCACAGTCACTACACTTGTAGGGCTTCTCCCCCGTGTGGATTCTCTGATGCTGAGTGAGGTGTGTGCTCTGCCGGAAGGCCTTCCCACACTGCCTGCATGCATAGGGTTTCTCGCCTGTGTGTGTCCGCTCGTGCTGGCTAAGCGATGAGCTGTGACTGAAGGTTTTCCCACACTCGTTGCACCCATAGGGCTTCTCTCCTGTGTGGATCCTCCGATGCTCAGTCAGGAGTGTGCTCTGGCTGAAAGCCTTCCCGCACTCACTGCACTCATAAGGCCGCTCGCCTGTGTGTATCCTCTGATGCTGAATCAGTGGTGTGATCTGGGTGAAGGCTTTTCCACATGCCTGGCACTCATAGGGCCTCTCCCCGGTGTGGATCCGCTGGTGTTTAGTCAGGGATGAACTGTGGCTGAAGGCCTTGCCACACTCTCCACACTGGTATGGCTTCTCCCCAGTGTGGATTCGCAGGTGCTGGGTGAGATGGATGCTCTGTCGGAAGGCCTTCCCACACTGACTGCACGTGTAGGGCTTCTCACCTGTGTGCGTCCGCTCATGTTGGCTGAAGGAGGATCTAAAGCTGAAGGATTTCCCACACTCGCTGCACTCATAGGGTTTCTCACCCGTGTGAGTTCTCTGGTGCTGGATCAATGGGGCAATTTGGTTGAAGGTCCTCCCACACTGAGTACACTTGTAAGGTTTCTCACCAGTGTGGATTCGCTGGTGTTTGGTAAGCGCTGAGCTGTTTCGAAAGCCTTTTCCACATTCATGACATTCATAAGGCCTCTCTCCTGTGTGTGTTCGGTGGTGTTCAATGAGTGCTGAGCTGTGACTAAAGGCCTTTCCACATTCCTGACATCCATAGGGCTTCTCTTTTGCACAGGTTTTCTGTTGAGCATTTGAGTCTGAATTCTCCCTCTGTCCATGTGCTCCCCACATTGGGGCACCTTGCCTTTCAGGAGTCATTGGTTGAGTTGGGAGATCTGGCCTCAGACTCAAGTTTTCCCCACACCCATCCCCCTGCTGCTGCTCCTGTGTCGGTGTCTTCACAGGTGTGCAGGCTGCCTGCACCACACAGCTATCTGACTTCTCAGGGCCCTGTTCCCTGTTGCCTGCAGCATCTTCATCCTTAGACTGCCACAGACTTTCCTGCAGAAACCCTTCTACCAGGGCACTATTGGCTATTTCTTCAGTTACACCTTGCTTTTCAGTTGATAACTTGCTTTGGGGTCTGGTTTCCAAATCTGAAAGAAGCAGAGAAATGGAAATGTCCCCTAATCCTGGTTCTGAAGGAAGTCTGTGTGGGGGGGGGGGGGGGGGGGGCGGTGGTGGTGAGTAGACAGAAGAATAAAACTTATAGTTTTGAAAGGTCCAAGGCACAGTGGCTTTGTCCACTAAAAAGTACATTTTTACAAATCAGGGAAGGAAGCACAGAGAATAATCACGGGTGGGGCACTGGTATAGGAGGTGTGGATGGGGTGTTCAGGGAAGCACAGAGAATGACGGCAGGAGAGGATGCTGAGGAGAAAGCACGCATCCAGGGAAACTGTAAACAGATGTCCTGGACCTGGAGTACCCCCGGCTCAGAGCAGAGCTCAATGGATGTGCTGAAGGAAGAAACAAATGCATTTCCTCCTCCTCCCTTCTGGCCCTGGGATCTGACTCTCTCTGTATGGCCATGGCCTCGGTGCCTGACATCCCCATGCTGACACTACACTTGCTTAAAAGTGTGACATGGGCACCTTTCCCATTTGTTACACTCCAGTGAAAAGTTACATAGAAAAGGTTAAGCAAGATGTGGTTGGCAGAACAGAGACTCCCAAACATATCCACGTCCTCATCTCTGGAGGCTTTAAATTTGAAGTTACCCTTCTCACAGCAGAACAGGTGCTTGGTGAATGTTCCCTGAGAGACGGAGTAGTCAATTTGCTCTGAAGAACCAGGGGTGGGTATGGAGAGAGAAGCTGGGGGGTGAACAGGCTCCCCCCAGACTGCAGGGCTTTCATCTCACCTGGGCACACACCTTGGGGGCCTCCCTCGTCCGCTGCCCACAGCTCTGCCTCCTGCTCCAGCAGGGAGATGACATCCGGCTTTGGGAGCCAGTGTCCTGCTCAGGGGGAGACCCATGGAGTGAACAGCTGTGTCCTAGGAGCCTCCCTAACCCTCTGCCCACACCTTCAGTCTTCCAGGACCACGTGTCTGGGGTTCTGGGAGGACATGGTTGTTGTAACAGCTTCTGCCCTCCCTTAGAGGCCCCTTCCTCCAACTCAGTCCTGACCCCATCCCTGGCCCCAGGGTGCCTATCAGAGCTCTGCTTCTTCCTTTGCCTCATGGCAACAATGACCAGTGTGGAGGGGACCTGGCTGCCAAACCAAGACAACCTAGGACCTTCTATGGGTGCCTGGGACACAGACTCTGCCTCTCCTGTTGGTCTCAAGCCCGGGAGAGGCACACTGTTAGCTGTCTCATCACCTTCAGAGGGGCCCATCTGTGAATGGAGGAAGAAAGAGGTATGGGGGGAGGAGGGGGTTCCCACCAGCACCAAAGGCAGATCCAGGTGTGCCCCGGAGTTCTGTGGTCACGGGACCAATATGTCCCTTTTACCCCAGGACTTTCTGCTTCTGGCATTGTTCACACAGATCCGTAGTTTGCAACCAAAACACTATAACTGATGTTACCTACACTAAAACAGTCGGGTCCCTGAAGCCCAAGTCACAGCCCAGGTATCCCCATTTAAGGCCTAGATGTACTCCCACTTTTATCCCAGGAAAATGAGAACCTGTGCTGGGGGCAGATCAGGGCACGAGGGTGGCCTCACCCACAGAGACCAGGAGCCCGAAGGTCTCCAGCATCACATCTCGGTACAGGGTCCTCTGGGCCGGCTCCAGATGCCCCCACTCCTCCTGGGTGAAGTCGACGACCACGTCCTCAAAAGTCACTTGCTCCTGAAACATCACACACATGCATCCTCAGAGCCCCCAGCGCGGCCGTCAGGAGGAAGCAGCTGGTGAATGGGCGCCTCGGCCACGTAGGTGAGAGGGTCAGGGGATTTGGGTCAGGTTTCCCTTGGGGGGCCAGGAGCCCTGCTGGAGGAGAGACTCTTGAGATGAAAAAATGAGGGGTAACAGTGAAGAAGATGGTGGTCCTGACATGCTGGGGTCACAGGAAGTGTGCTTGCGTGGGTGTCCCTCAGGGAGAAGGCAGGGAAGGAGCACCTAGAAAACTGTCAGGCTGTTTCTCTGCCTCACCCTTTGGCCAAAATCATATCTGAGGGGTCCGTGATGTATACATAACAAAACAAAGCCCTCTTTAAGAGATAAGAGGGTCCATGCTGCCACAAGCCCATTTTCCAGAGACTGGGAGAACGTAAGTATCTTGCCCAAAGGTATAAAGTTAGTAAGCAGCAAGTCCAAGGGTTGAATCTGAGAGATTTTATTAAGAATCTGTTTACCGTGTAAATTAAATTCAAGTACATGAAGATCCATGCATTAGTGGAACGTCAGTGTGGTAGTGGGAGCATTTCAAAGCCATGGGGCACACTGGGGCAACTGGCCCTTTGGGGGAAAAACAGTAGATCTCTACCTCACACCATAAATAAATTTGAGAAATCTTAAAGAGATGAATATAAAAAAGGAAAAAGTTGGAAAAGAATAGACCATTAATTTAATAAATGGGTGGCACAGAAAGTTTTCACAAATAAAACATTAAAAGTCAGAAAGAAGAAAAATGAGTTTGGTAGGAAGAACTGTGTCTCTACCATCCCAGGATTACATAGCAAGGAGGAATTAGGATGGCAGATGGAATTAAGGTTGTTAGTCTGCTGACCTTAAAATAAGGAGGTTATCCTGGAATGTCCTCGTGAGCCCAGTGTAATCACAAGGGTCTTTCAATGAGGAAGAGGTAGAAGAGTCAGCCTCACAGTAATGGTATGTGAGGAAGACTCAAATGGCGGAAGATGTCTTAGAAGATGGAAGAGGGCCAGGAGCCAAGGAACGTAGGAGGCATCTAGAAGCTGGAAAAGGGAAGGCAGTGGATTCTCTCCTAGAGCTGCCAGAAGCAACACAGCCCTGCGGATGCCTTGATTTCAGCCTAAAAAGACGTATTTCAGACTTCTGGTCTCCAGAAGTATAAAACAATAATTTGTGTGGTTTTAAGCCACTAAGTTTGTTGGGGTTTGTTACAGAATCAACAGGAAAATGATACATTCAGCAATCAAAATTCATGATTTCTAGATGACAAAGTCTTTAGAAGCCACAAGGACCATAACAGCAGAATGAATATTTGCAACATAAATGGAAAGAAAAGGATGACTGGCCAGCACATGCGAAGAACTGATAAATCAGTGAGTAAAAGGCAAACAACAGGAAAGAGAGCCTGGCCCTTCTGAGAAGAGGGAGGCTGAGTGCCCAGGCACGGATTACTTGCACAGCTGGCAGGTTTCTAAAAATGCATGTAGTAGTTATGCTGGCAATTCCACCTCCCCATCCCCCCAAGAACCCCACTCTCATGCTGCACTGTCTATACATGACAGGCAACTGGTAATAGCCTAGACGCCTGTCATACGGGAGCAGCCAAAGTGAGTTTCTCGAAAACCTGGAGCCAAGTGAACTTAGGAAGTCTGGGTCCATCGATTGCCTGTTGGCCATGGGGCTAAGCCAATTCCCTGAAAGACAAGTGAGAGAAAAACAGGCTCCGGGGGTCAGAATGGGAGTTTTGGGCCTTGGGGGTAGGCAGGGAACTTGCACCCTCCTATCTGGTTCCTCCTTGGACAAACTGAGATGGACCCCTGAGATGTCACAGCAGAATCGACTGAGGGAGCCCCAGGGGCTGGGAACCCCACGCCTCAGCTGGACCATCCACTGGTGTCCATATGTGCAGGCACCAGGCTGCACACTCACAAAATCTACTCAGTGCATAAACAATGCCTGAATACAAAGAGGAACTGTGGAGAGAAAGAGCAATGGAGAGTGGCTAGAAAAATGAAATGGTGGGGATGTCCAGGGGCAGGACCCCCGAGGACTGTTTCCTAGTCTTCAATTTTAAATATTGGGGTAATAGAAGTACCATATGATCCAGGAATCCTGCTCCTGGGTATATATCTGAAGAAAAAACAAAACAAAACAGTAATTCTAAAAGACACACGCACCCCAGTGTTCACAGCAGCACTATTTACAATTGCCAAGATGTGCAAGTAACCTAAGTGTCCATCAACAGATGAACCAGTAAAGACTTGGTACACACATGCACACCTACATACACTCACTGGAATGCTACTCAACCATAAAAAATGAAATTTTGCCATTTGCCACAACATGGATGGACCTGAACAGTATCATGTTTAGTGAAATAAGTCAGAGAAAGATAAATACTGAACATTCTCTCTTATATATGGAATCTAAAAAATAAACAAGTGAACAAACAAAAACAGACTCACAAAGAGAGAATAAGGCCAGTTTCTTCCATGATCAGGTGGGGAATTTAAGCTTTTTTTCCCAAGGCACATGAGGTTTGGGCACTCACATCCTCCACAAAGAGATTTTCATATCACTGAAGCCAAGTATTATGGATGGCCAGAGTGGAGGGCAGAGTTAAGAACTTGGCCATGTGGAGGGTGTGGTCAGGGACACAAGGCCACCCACTTCCTGGACCCTGGTCTCCCAGGCAGAATCCACCTCTGCTAGAGATTCTCCCACCAGAACAGCCAGTCGGGGGGCAAGGGCGGGGTGGTGATGTGAAGACTGGTGGTGGATCCACATGGTGGAGATTCCAACCCCAGACTCAGGTGTCTTTGCACTGTACTCTGCCCCTCTGGCCTCATCTGCAAGTTGCTGGAAGCTCCCTGAGAAGGCTGGGAAGTCACAGGAATTGTGCTCAGGACTCAGCACATAGTGGTTGCTTTACCTGCAGACCCAGCTTCAAACACACACACACACACACACACACACACACACACACACACACACACACACACACACACACACACACTGCCTCCTGCTGCTGTGTGCTAGCTGCTGGGTTGGGGAGGGAGCAAAAATGCAAACCCCAGAAAGGCTCAGTGCTCTGGGGAAAGTGGGAGGGATGCTGCTGCGGCAGCGGCAGAGGGACCTGGAGGAAGAGGCACGAAGGAGCAGGACATATGCGGGGCTCTGGGGCCTCGGGGTCGGAGTTCAGGTCCAGCTCGACCAGTCCCAGCTGTGTCACTTGCCCCTGCACCTTGGTCCCTCCTCATCCAACCTCGTGGGACTGATATGGAGGTTGAACCTGGTGAAACGTGTCCAGCACTGACCAGGGTTCAGAACACTCAGTCTTCACCCATTCTCCGTATGCCTACTGTGTGCCAGTCCTTTGCACATGGTAAACATGACCAGAACTGCTTCCCAAGGCCTCAGGCCCCTGAAGCTGGCCTAGGAGACCTGGCTCTCCATCTTCCTGCCACACATGTGCCTGGTCTAAGTGCCCGGTGTGGTCCCACCCCCAGGCCTCTGCTCCTGCTATCCCCTCCGCCTGCAGCATTCTGCCTGTGGGCGCGACCCCACCCTCTCCCTTCCTGCAGATCTTTGCCTGGGAGTCACGGCCTCAGGGAGGCCTCCTGGGCCCCAAGCCCACCCTCTTTGGGGCCTCATTTCCCTGCCCAACACATGGCACATTTACATTCCTCACGTGCTCTGTGAGCCGTGGGGCGGAGATTTCTTGTCTGTTTCCACACCTGCAGCACCTGTAACAGTGCCTGCTCGCGGGCAGTGCTCAGTACATGTTGGCCAAGTGACTGGAGGTAGTGAGAGCTGGGAGAATGGACCCTGAGCCCTGTGTCGAGAAAGCTCCAGGTCAGTGGGATGGATAAGCGATGTCTGCCAGGGTGGCACAGGGCAGGGGTTGGGGGGTGGGACCCAGCTGATCTTCTCAGAGTGGCAAGGTGAGATGTGGAGGGACACGGAGCTGAGGAAAGCACAGGCCGGGCCAGGGACAGAGTGACGGCAGAGGCCCCGAGGACAGAATGAGCCTGGTGGGGATCACGGGTGGCACCTGAAGGCCGGTGGGAGGGGGCACCGTACTCACCGGGTCCCCGGCAGTGAGGAGCCCAGCAGTCATTCCCTCCTCCTCGGGCCTCTTGCAGGAATAGTCAGCTCCTCTGTAGGCAGTTCTGGGGGGAAAGGGGATATGAGAGACTGGGCAAGTGACGAGTGACTCCAGGCCCTGGAAGGCCTGTGTGCATGTAGTAGGAACTCCGTGCCCAGGTGGGATGCAATAGGATTGCCGCTTCAGCGTGGCATTTCTTGAACTCCTGCTGTGCACCTGATGCTATTCCAGGCACTGTTGAAAGATGACCTCCCTTTCCCTTACTCATTCCAGACAGGGAAACGGATGGCCAAAGGGGCAAGGGGTGCAGCCCAGGTCGCACAGGTGATTCCCAGGGTGATGACTCTGTTACTGTGCAGAAGGCAGAAAACCAGGCAGTACTGGGGCCTCTGGCACTCTTTGGTGTGCCTGTTTCTACAAAAGGTTTTTCTCTTATAAAATGAGGATGGTGACCCAGGACGGAGCTTACGAAAATTAAAATGTGAAAAGGAGACGTTCCCTGGTGGGCTAGTGGTTAGGATTCTGGACTTTCACTGCTGTGGCCTGGAGTTTAATCCCTGGTTGGGGAACTGAGATTCCATGAGCCATGCATTGCGGCTAAATAAATAATGACCCTGCCTATTGGCACCTGATTCTGCCCCAGCCACTCTGACCAGTTGTCTTCGTTGTAGTTCCCTGGATGGGAGTTATAATATTCAGTGATGTTTTATGGGCTTATCATCCTCTCCCTGACTCTCCTGTGGCATCCAGGGCGGAGACAATGTTGGGGATATAGGACAGGGCCTGGCACCCAGAACAGGTAAACACTTGCTTGTTTAAGTAATGAAGGAACCTGGATGGTGCCTGGCATGCAGCTGATGCTCAATAAGATTTTAATTTGTCTGTTTCCTGGGTCCCAAGTGGATAAGATCAAAATCTGTTGCTTTGGGTCTCCTTTACCTTTATTCTTTACGGACAGAAGCCCCTCAAGAAAGTGAGGTTCCACAGCTGACATGGTGGTGGGACCTCCTTCCCCACCTCCAAACCTCGGAGGTCTCGCCCAGTCCAGGGAGGAATGCAGGTTAGGCTGGTTCCAGGCTCTGAGGAGTCAGGCCAGCTAATCTTTATGACTATGCTCCTGAAGCCAAAGACCTCAATCCCTTCCCTCAAAGCCGTGACCCAACCCCCGCCCCAACTCCTCCCCTCGGGCACTGAGACACCCCTCCCGAATTGGGCCCCGCCCACTCGGCCCCGCCCACACCGCCCACAGCGACCCAAACTAGGCCGAAGCAGTAAAAGGGATGTGACACGGGCGCGCGCGGCTATGTACACACCCTGGCCGGAGTCCCAGGGAAGACCCTGGACCCACGCTCCGCCCGGCCTCCCCTACCCCGACCAACCCAAACCTCACTCACCGCTGGACTGTAAGACAAAGACGGAGGCCGCCAAGGAGCGCACTGCGCCTGCGTACCGACGCTGAACTACACCTCCCAGAGGGCGGCGCGTGCCTCCGATCGTCTTCCCGCTTGCCACGCCCCCTCCTGGGTGGCTGCGGTTGAGGGGCTCTGAATCCTGGCTCGGCCTTGTTTTCCACCCTGGGACCCTCTCATTCCGCACTCCTTGGAGGAATGCCAGGAGGAAGGCCACGCCCGCTGCTGGCCGAGATTGCGCCTAGCTGGGCGGGCCCCGAACTACAACTCCCAGAGGGCGGTGCGCCCACCTCCGGCCGTCTCTCAGCTCGTCCCACCCCGCCTGGGGCTGAGGCTGAGAAGTTCTAGCCCCTCTGACGCCTCACTCCTGGGACTGGAGCGTGAGGCTGCGATCGCGTTGGTCTGGGAGTGCGCCTGCGCGGAGGGCGCCGAACTGCGTCGCCCAGAGGGCCACTCGCCGCTTCCCTGGGCGTCTATTCCCGCCCGTCGGGTTCTTCTGATACCCGAATTCGAGTCCTGACACCTCTGTGTCCCCATCATAAATATTCCGTGCCGCCGCCGCAGTGAGGAGCCTTTGATTGTAGCCCGGCGCTCAGTAGGTGCCAGTATTTAGTACACGGTTATAAGAAACATGGATATTTGAAAACTGCTTTACACACTGCTTCGTAACTGTCAGAACTGCGTTTCAATAGCATCATAGTATTCACCCAGGTGGCGCTAGTGGTAAAGAACGTGTTTGACACCGCAGAAGGTGTAAGAGACGCGGGTTCCATCTCTGTGTCAGGAAGATCCCTTGGAGCAGGACATGGCAACCCACTGCAGTATTCTTGTCAGGAGAACCCCTTGGACAGAGAAACCTGGGGGGCTACAGTCCAGGGAGCCGCAAAGAATGGGACAGGACTGAAGCGATTTAGCACCTGCACATGGTACGCAAAGCTTCCCAAGTGGCTCAGTGGTAAAGAATCCGCCTGCAATGCAAGAGACGCGGGTTTGATCCCTGGGTGGGAAAGACCCCTTGGAGTAGGAAACTGCAACCCACTCCAGTATTCTTGCCTGGAAAATTCCACTAACAGAGGAGCCTGTCAGGCTAAAGTCCGTGGGGTTGCAAAGAGTCAGATGCCACTGAGCATGAATACATTAAAAGTTGACGTCCCCTCACATGACTGAATTCGCCATTTGGTGAACACTGGCCAAGGCCAACCAGGTGGCATGCCCAGGGTACAGCAGCCAAGCGTACAAGGTGAGACCGTTCACCATTCCCCCACTTGAGCTGGACTTATTTTCAGTAATGCATGTGAACATCCAGTGGAGCAAGAATCTAACCAAGGCTGAGCCACCACACCTGCCTTTGCCCTTTTAAGAGGGGATTGATTGATTCAGATGAGTTGGGGCTTGCATGATGGATCTGAAGCTGACAAAAAGTTTCAAGCCAAGGGCATCTTAATTCTTTGACTGAAACAGCTATTTATTTGGAAAAACTCTGATGCTGAAAACAGCAAACAATAAGAATTCTTATGTTAGGGGGAAAAACAGCTGGTGACATCTTTTTTTTACAAATAACAGGTGAAAAGATTTGGCTGGTTTGCACGAGTGAAAGACTTCAAATCTTGTAACAGTGGTTGTTATGAGATGTGTCTGATGGCTCAAAATCGGAATGCTCTCATGATGCAAGCTCTAGTTTTTCTTTTCAGGTGTCATTTAGAGACTATAAAGGATCATATTTGTGATTGTCATACTGAAAGCTACTCTTCTGTCTGCTGAAGTAAGAAAGCTTTAAAGTGTTCATAAAATGTCTATTACCACTTCCCTCACCTGCAAATCCAAATGAAAAGTAAGATTGTTTTTCCTTTTTCTTTCACAAAATGTACCGTTTTCCTCCCCAGTTTCCTTTTACCAGATCAAAAGGCATGAAAACTTCCCATGTGGCACTAGTGGTAAAGAACCCATCTGCCAATGCAGGAGATAAGAGAGACGTGGTTTCAGTCCCTGGGTTGGGAAGATCCCCTGCAGGAGAAAATGGCAACCCACTCCAGTATTCTTGCCTGGAAAATCCCATAGACAAAGGAGTCTGGCAAGCTACAGTCTATGGGGTCACAGAGTCAGTCACGACTGAAGCAACTTAGCATAAACTCTCTCATGATGACATCTTTGCTTAAAAAAATTGTTTTTGGCTGTGCTGGGTCTTCATTAATGTGAGTTTTCCTCTAGTTGCAGTGCATGGGCTTCCTATCGGGGTGGCTTCTCTTCTGGAGCATGGGCTCTAGGGTGTTGCTTTAATGAGTATTTTTCAATGAACTTAAGTGGCCATCAAAAGTACACAGGATAAACAAATTATGGTATAGTCATTCAATGGGAAACTATACAGCAGAGAAAATAAATGAAATTGAGTCTCACATATCAAAAAGGATAAATTTTGGGACCCTCCTGAAGGTCTAGTGGTTAGGAATCCACGCTTCCACTGCAGGGGTCTGGATTCAGTCCCTGGTTGAGGCACTAAGATTCCGACAGGTAACATGGCAAAACAAATAACAATAACAAAAAGCCCTACACAAAGGCGAAAGGATAAATCTTGTAATGATAAATTTATGGAGCAAAAAATGCAAGTTGCAGATGAAATTATATGCTTTTATATGAATGCAAAACATGCTTTGTATTATTTTGAAACAGACACATTGTAAAGTTTCAGGAAACACATGGCGTGATTCACATCTCATTCAGGATGTGGCTGCCCCCGGAGGAAGGGGGGTTGCTATTTCAGAGGGGAATGTTGTTCAGTAGCTACCTCGTGTCTCACTCTTTGTAACCCCATGGACTGCAGCATGCCAGGCTTCCTTGTCCTTCACTATCTCCTGGAGTTTGCTCAAGTTGGTGATTGTATCCAACCATCTCATCCTCTATCTCCCCCTTCTCTTTCTACCCTCAATCTCTCCCAGAATCAGGGTCTTTTCCAATGAAGAGAGGGGAACAAAGGGGTTTAGGCCTGCAGGTTGATGATGTTCTTTTTCATTTTTTCATTCAGCTTAGGAGTCTTTTCACAGGTTTCATTGAATCTCTTACAAATTTTTATGTCTTACATATTCTTCTTAAAAGAAAAAGGAGCAGACATCTAACATTAAATTCCAGGCACATGAGAAACTGGATGCTGAATGTTGAACTGGTGGCAAAGCAGACCTGTGAAAGGGGAGCATCTACATGGTCACCAGTTGTAGAGAAACATCTTGACTTTCATCTGGCGGGGGGGAGGTGGGGAGTGGTGGGGAGGTACTCAGAATCCCAAGTGTTGACCTTTGTGACTCTTAGAATGTTAGCTGGAGAAAATGAGTTAATCCTAGGATTTGAGAGCATGAGGTATTAGATTGGTGCAAATGTAATTGCAGTTTCAGACCATGAATTTTAAATCATTATACTAGGCTCAAAAACATCTTTATTAATCCAAATAGGAACCACTACAATCAAGATTTTGCCAATGAGAAATAAGTTTGCTTATTCCTATAGCATAAAAATCCATGCTTTAGGATTCAGTGCACTCTTGGAAAGCATTTTCTGCATCCTGCTCATTGTGGAAGTGGTTTTTCTGCAAAAAGTTCTCAAGATGCTTGAAGAAGTGGTAGCTGATTAGCCAGAGGTCAGGTGAATATGGCTGATGAGGCAAAACTCTGTAGCCCAATTCGTTCAATTTTTGAAGCATTGGTTGTCTGATGTTTGGTCAGGCATTGTCATGGACAACTGAACCTTTTCTGTTGACTAATGCCGGCTACAGGTATTGCAGTTTTTGGTGTGTTTCATACATTTGCTGAGCATACTTCTCCAATGTGATGATTTCACCAGGATTCAGAAAGCTGTAGTGGATCAGGCCAACAGTAGACCACCAAATAGTGACCATGACCCTTTTTTGGTGCAAGTTTGCCTTTGGGAAGTGCTTTGGGGCTTCTTTTCAGTCCAACCATTGAGCTGGTCGTTGCTGGTTATTGTATAAAATCCACTTTTCATTGCATGTCACAATCCAATCGAGAAATGGTTCACTGTTGCACAGAATAAGAGGACATTACAAAACAACAATTTTTTTTTGGTCAGCTCATGAGGCATCCACTGATTGATCTTTTTCACCTTTCCCATTTACTCCAAATGCCAAACAACCATAGAATGGTTGATGTTGAGTTCTTTGGCAACTTCTCATGTAGTTGTAAAGAATCAGCTTCGATGATGCTCTCATTTGGTTATTGTCAACTTCTGATGGCCAGCCACTACACTCCTCATCTTCAAGGGTCTTGTCTCCTTTCCAGAACTTCTTGAACCACCACTGTATGTTCATTAGCAGTTCCTGGGCCAGATGCATTGTTGATGTTGCAAGTTGTCGCCACTGTTTTATGATCCATTTTGAACTCAAATAAGAAAATTTCTGGAATTTGCTTTTTGTCTAACATCATTTCCACTGTTGTTGTTGTTGTTCAGTCGCTAGGTTGTGTCAAACATTTTGCGACATCATGGACTACAGCATGCCAGGCTTCCCTGTCTTTCACTATCTCCTGGAGTTTGGTCAAACTTACATTCATTGAGTTGGTGATGCCATCCAACCATCTCATCCTCTGTTACCCCCTTCTCTTCCTGCCCTCAATCTTTCTCAGTCTAAAATAAATATAAAATCAACAGCAAGTAATGTCATTGCCAAAAAAAAAATAAAATGAGAAATGTGCATTAAAATGATAACATAACCACATTTATTTATAATGTATTCCAATATCAATATCTGAGCAAACTCCAGAAAAAGTAAAGGACAGGGGAGCCAGGCGTGCTGCAGTCCATGGGGTTGCAAAGTCAGACTAGACTTAGCAACTGAACAACAACAAAAACAGTATCAGACGGCAAATTAAAACAAGCAAAAACTGCAATTGCTTTTGCAAAAAACTAATAACTTCTAGTCTAGCTGACTTGTACTAGTTATTTTACTGTTGGTGACCTACAACCCAGCTCATAAAATGCCCTACATTTTCCAAATAAAGTGTCCTTGACTCACCCTACCTTAACCTTTCGTTCTCATCTGGCTATGACAAAATGGAACCGGCTGGAGCCCTTCACTTGCCATGGGGTGATCACATTTTGGACATCTCTCAGAGGGAGCATGTCCACAGACAGCATAGATTCTACTACCGCTCTGGTCTTTTCGGATTCAGAAACCTCAGTAACTGCTCAGACACAGCCCAGACTTCTGTAATAGAGGCATCCAAAATGGCTGTTTGGCCCAGTCTTGGCCACCCCATCACTCAGAGAGAACAGGGTACCATCCAGCAAGCTCTGGTAACTGAAGTAGCTGAGGGCCTGGACAAAAAGGAAGCAGCTTCATCACACACCTGTAACACGTTCTCCACTCACCCCTGGTAAACAGTTCTGCATTGAGAGGCCTTCTCCACGCCTTGTTCTCCATATTAGGGGCTGGACTGCAGTCCATGATGCACAAACTTGAACCCCCTGCCTGTTAGCGCTACCCTAAAAATACTAACCGGTCCACAATCTGACCACTGATCCCCACCCACCTTGATTACTGCATTGGTTCAAAAGTCATCAAGGTCCTTCCCTCACCCTCTTGAGCCTATTCTCACAAAAGCCAGAGTGAGTGATCCTTTGATGCGGCCAGGGATACCTATGGCTGCTCTGCTCAGACCCATGCCCTGGCTCACGGCAGAGCCATTCTGATGCCCCCAGGCTCTCTCCAACCCGCCACTCACTCTGACCATCCTACTGTTGTTACAACTAAACAATAGAAACGTGGGTGGACAAATTAACAGGTGAGGGGAATGAGGAGTAAAGAGTAGGGGCCAGGAGGGCCAGAATCCTCTGGGCAAGGGTTCCTCCCAAATCCTTTCCTGGGAAGGAGGCCTCGGTTCAGCAGCCTCAAATTCGATTCGTAACAAGGGGTAGGGCTTCATATGTGAGGCGAAGCTCAAAATTAGGTTCCTCGTCCGAAAACGGTACATAACAGCCCCTTCCTTACAACCCTTTAACTACTGAATGAAAAGGAAAGCACTTCAACAGACTTCAGTAAAGTTCCTACAAAGTGCGGCTACCGTGAGCTGCCATTTTAGGGACAGACAAACTGAGGCTCGCCGGGCGGCGACTTACCAAACCCACCCCCTAGCCAGCGCGGTCCGCGTCTAGGACAGTATCGCCCACCTCGCCAAGGCCTCGGACACTGCTGTCCCTGTAAGTCCATAAGAGGCGGAACTAGCGACAAGCGCCGCTTGGGGAATTTGCCAAGGAGGCGCTTCCGGTATACCGGAAGCGCGTCCCTAGAACTACCACTCCCAGTAGCCCGCGCGACGTGTCCCCGTCGACACCGGGGGAGAGGCCGCCATTGTCCGCGGCTGAGGTGAAGCGGTCGCCCGGGCGGTGGGATTATTACTGTTGCCGCTGCCGCTGGCCCGGAGGGTAGGGAGAACGGGCGGGGAGAGGTGGCGCCTATACCTGCGGCTGGCTCGCCGCCAGGGCAGGTCCCTTGGTCCGCCTCTGGCTTCGCGGAGGCGCTGGATCGGCTGGGCGGGCCCGGATGAGCCCGGCGCATCGGGCCTTTGTCCCCGGGGCGGGAACCCCAAGCTCACGGCCGAGCCGGGCCCAATGTGAGCGCAACAAAAGCCGAACGCCCTCGGCGAAGCGAGCGCGAGCTTGTCTAGCTGCCCGCGGAGAGCAGGGGTCACCGGCCAGCAGGGGTGGGAGGCCGGCGGCTGCGAACCAGGTGAGGTCCGCCGTTCCCAGGAAGGGCTGTGAGTATCGCACCCGCGGCGGGAGTGCGGAGAAAGTCTGGGGTGAGAGGCCAGAAGGCAGGTGACGAGGACGCCTCCAAGGCTGTCCCTAGGAGTCCACCTTGTCTTTCCCGACGGGCGTTTCTCGTGAGAACCCGTTCTCATCTGTCACAGAGGAAAGTCAAAAGTGACTTGGAACAACCCGGGGCTCCTTTAAAGGTGCAGTAACCGGATGACTTTGTCAAGTTGCAAACAAGCGTGCAGAATATTTAGTGTGCCAACTTGGAGTTTGGGCGCAGATCCCGGTGCTCCCGGTGCCCATAGGGCGTTCCAGTGCTTTATACACGCTCCCAGGAATCCGCAGAGCTCTGCCAGTTGGCGTTGGTGTCCTCCGAGAGGTCGCGGAACTTGCATAAAGTTCTAGAATTTAGGGTTGGTCTGGCCTCCAAATTTGGTTTTCTGTTGGTCCCTGCACCAAGAGACAGATTTTTTTTTTTTCCTACATTAGATTTACATAACTTAAAATTAACTATTTTAGCGTACAAGTCCGTGGTTTTCTTGTGCGTTCACAACGTTTTGCAGTTATCACCACTATAATTCCAGAACACTTTCATCATCTCTCAACCCGTCCCCACCCCCGAAAAAACCACCCTGAACCATTAAGCTGCCACTCGCCCGTTCTTCCCTCCCCTCAGCTCTAGACAACTACTTACATATGAAGGTTGTAGGTAGATTTTACAACGATTTTTGTTAAATCATTAGAAAAGCTACCTGGTCGTTATCAGTACCCGTCTCATGAAAACGGTTGACAAATTTCTCCCTCCTCATCCTGGACCATGCCCTTTTCCTACTTTTGTTACTAGGTGGGTTTTGCAGTTGGTTTTCAATAATCACCCAAGTCCACTGCTCCTGGGCAAGCTTCTGGTGGATTAATCCTGCGAGATGGCTGCCATCAACCCGTGGGGTTCATGGGGTGAGTTCAAATCCTGTTTCTTCTGGGCCTCCCTAGTGGTGACCTGCTGTAGCTAGGGGTCAGAGCTGTAGAGGGACTAAGGGTTTTGGGGATTGGAGGGGGTTTCTTTATCTTGGTACAGAATTAGAACTAAGTGAGGTTGTTTTGTTTTTTAATTGGTTGCTTGTATAAAAGGTAATGTAATTTTCATGTATTTTATAGTTCTCTCCTGAGAAGTCTCATTAGTTCTAAGAGATTTTTCTGGTGATTTGTGGAATTTCTTGGAAGACAGTCATCTACAACCAAAGTTTCTCTACCATCCCCATGTTTTTTACTTGTATTATTTTCACTGTATAGCGTTTGTTTATAATTTAAGAACATCATTAAATGGTGTCAGTAGTGTGTTTTATTTTTAAGTGAAGTTTCATGTATCTGTCATTAAAGACATCAAAAGACTAGTAATGTTTCCTAAAAGTTAAATGGTGTTCAGTTTTATCAGATACTTCTCCAGCCACTTAAGGGGTTCTGTTCTTAATTGTTCAGTAGCTGTATCATATCAATAAATTTCCTGAAAGTGACCCAGTTGTGCATTTTTGCTGTAAATCTAGCTTATGTTGTTTTTTTTTCCCCACACGTCCTTGGGCTCTATTTATGGAATTTTGCTGTGCACATTAGTGAGACAGGTCTCCTTTTCCATCTTGTTGCCTTTAGTCACTAGGATCAGTGTCACAGTCCTTTCCTTTCCTTGTCCTAACCTGACACTCTGGTGTAGGTTTCCTTATGGACCAGTCCTGGGGGATGACGACTGTTGACCCATGGGCCTCCTGGGGTGAGTCAAGACCCTGTTTCCTCATCAGACACATTGGTTACCATATTGTGGTCTCTCCCATCAGTAACCTACCATTGCTGGAAATCAGAGCTGGTGGGGAGCGAGGAGGGGGACTGGTCCAGATCTGTCTCTTGGCAGAGCTGGAACAGGGAAGGATCTGAACACATTACTGGGGGATCTAGTGATGAAATCTCCAGAACAGGATGCATGAGAATGCATGTGTGGCCATTTAGGGCTCAGACCCAGAAAGGCTGTGAACAGGCACTTTCTCTACGACAGTGCCTCAGGACAACAGGGGATGGGTCATGTGTTTAGATTTATTGTTTAACTTCTCTGGATCCCACTGCCTTCATCTGTAATGTGAGGAAGTGGATCTTTTCCCTTGCCCAAAAGGGAGGGACAGGGTCTGGAAGTAGTACTCAGGTTGGCCACTTCTGGCAGGGAGAGCTGCCTCTGTGACTTCATTTTCCTCCCCCAGCTCTGTGCCCTCAGGACCCTACCTGGCAAGTGGAGGAGACCACCGAGGAGAGAAGGAGGGTCCCAGGGCTCCCAACAGCCCAGACCCAGGTGAGATGGGGCTTCTGCTTTTATCTGATGAGTTACCCTCTTCCTAAGGTGTTGAGGGTGTCCCTGACCATCCCAGTTGATATGGCTCCTCAGTTTACCACAGCCAAGGTTTGGATAGAGAAGGAATCAGCCAGAAGTTTATTGATTTCTGAGCATAGATAGGGAGAATTCAGTTTTCCATGACTTGGAACCTCACTGTCAACCAGTCTATTCAGAGTCCTTGAGCCCCAATGTGCTGTGGGCTATTTGGTAGATAAGGGTCAGTCCCTTTTGGCTAGCAGTCCCCTCCCCTTTTTCCCTCCCATATATTCAGTGCCTGACTCATATTGGTCCTGTTTGCTGAGCTCTGTGCTTAGAGAGGGGAACAAGGTCAATTGTGAGCCCCCATCCTTAGGAGCTCCCAGGCCCCTTTCCAGGGTGGTTTAGTCAGCTCCTGAGGCCTTACCATTTGCCTGGTGCTGTACATGTGATTCAGGACACAGGCCTGAGGTGCTCAGAAAGGCCCTGAGCCTTGGAGGAACTGAGCACAACGGATGCCTTGGAGGTGGGACAGAATCTGCATAGAGGCCATGTGCCGCAGCTGGGGTCCTTTTGCTGTGGAGAGGGAGGCTGCCTGGGAGATAGGATGCTCCTGAGCCAAGAGGTGAAAGGGACACATCAGCCAGATGGGCATAGCCTGGTGAGAGGAATCTGCCTTCTCTAGCACCATGGGGACACACTGCATGACCAGCATCTGGTTGAAGGCTGACTGTAATTTGATTTTAGGCCAAGAAAGCCAGGAAAAACCCTGCTGCATCCTGAATGCCTGCCACAGAGTTGGGGCTCCATCCTAGTTGTAGTAAGGAGCCACAGGAGTGTTGGGAGCGAGAAGCACCAGGGTCTAAAATGTAGCTGGAAGGATGCTCCTGGCAGGGGAGCGAAAAGAAGGGGATTGGAAGGCAGGCTGGCGAATCAGGCTTCAGTCTGATCGGCACCTGGAAGCAAGATCTGATACGTATAAGGGAGTTGAAGCAGGAGGACTTTGTGATTGTTTGGGCAGAAGATTGGCTCCCTAGAGAAACAGGAGCAGAGTTGATGATGTTGGAGAGGTGTCATCCCCCTCCTCCCCTCTTGCCAAGCCTCCTTACTGGAGGCAGCCACTTAGGAATTTTTTATAACTGTTTTATGAAAATTATTCACATACCATAAAGTTCAACCTTTTAAAGTACATAGTTCAGTGGACTTTTTAGTATATTCACAGAACTGCAGCCATCACCAGTATCTAGAATTTTCATCACTCCAAAAAGAAACCTTATACACATTAGTATAAGGTTACTCCCTGTTTCCCCAACTCCCAGCTCCTGGTAACCACTAATTTGCTTCTCTCTGTGTTTGCCCATCGTGGACGTTTCATATAAAGGGAACCAAATAATATATGGCCTTTTGTGTCTGCTTCTGTCACTTAGCATGTTTTGACAGGTTATTGATGTGATATCATTTATCAGTTTTTTTCTTCCTTACAACACAGAAATAGCCATTTTTAACATACTGTTTCAGTTTTTTAGGAGTGTGTTAGTCGCTCAGTTGTGTCCAACTCTTTGCAACCCCATGGACTGTAGCCTGCCAGGTCCTCTGTCCCTGGAATTCTCCATGAAATAATACTGGAGTGGTTAGCCATTCCCTTCTCCAGGGGATTTTCCCAATCCAGGGATCAAACACAGGTCTCTGGCATTGCAGAGACAAATTCTTTACTGTCTCAGCCATGAGAGAAGGGTTCCTTCTAAATGAGAGATTTTTATCCTAATTCATTGAATTTAGGTTTATCCTAATGATTTTCTGCTATGAAAGACAAAAATTGTTCCATTACTATATTTAGGTTTTTAATTTCTAAGTTAACAATAATGAGTCAAGCAAATGGGAGATACTGTGATTTAAAAATATTAATAGTATCTTTGCCTAACTTTGTGTCTCCCACCAAGTTAAAAAAATCAACAAAACCTGCCACAGTTTAAAAGCTGACTGGTGAAGCTTGTCATAAGTGTGCTGTCCCCACATGGCAGCGCTGCTGTCTCTGGGAGGCAAGGCCTGAATCACGTGATGCAGGGTGGTGGTTGTCTGGCATCAAAAGTTGAGTGACTGGTGTTTGCTGCTGTTACAGTGTGCAGTCATTTTTAGATTCTGTAACATAGTCAGTAGTGAACCTAGACTAGGTTGAAAGATGGGCCCTGATCAGTTGCTTGGGAATAGAATTTAGCTGCAGTGAAATGCTATGAAGTTCTAATAACCATTGTGCTGCACTTAGCTGGCAATATTTGTGAGGGTTTCTGAGAATTATTAGAGTTAATACCAAGAAAATAAAATGGAGAATTCAGATAACACCACCCTCCAGTGTCTGAAGAGTCTGAAGAGTGTCTGAAGAGTATGAGCACATACTCCTGGCCCTCTCTCCACACTCACTTTGGATCTTTCCCTCTGGGAGACTCAAGCCTTGAATATGTGAGTTTTGTATTAAGTGAGGTTTTCAGAAACACAGACAAGAGCCCCTTATGCCTTTGTTGTTCCCTCCAAATTAAATACTTATTGAAATAAAGCATTCACTTGGTGAAAACATCAAATGGCTGTCATCCCTTGTTATCGGTATAGTCTGATTTTAGAAACATGTTGATTAGTGAAGTTTCAGCTAGTGGGAGTCCATTATTTTTATGAATAGGGAAAATAATAATATTCCAGCCCATTAAAAATCCCAGCCAGCCACTCCAAATGTGGAAACTCTTAAACCCCTCCTTAACAATCCGCCAAAGTTTTCTGCACAATAAATGTTCATATAAGACATCAGTTAATGGAATACTCTGCCCCCATCCTTGATTGTCTCAAGGATGAACACACTCTCGTTACATTTTCCTTCTCTGCAAAGAGCTTGCCCTAAAATAGTAATATATCATGAAGTTCTGAAGATGCCAAAGAGTCCATCTGAATTTTGCTAGGTTCCATGAAGGGGCCAGTGGTCAGAGAATTCAGGTAATGCAGGAGCAGTCAGATGAGATACTGTCAGGCAAACAGCTGAGACCCAGCTCATCACCCCCTGCGTCCTCCCATGGTTTATGTGTGGCTGGTGTATCAGATTTCATAAACTGCCTTAGAATGTCTAGATAAATGCTTATATGTGTATGCAAAGCCATCTGTCCAAAAATATTTACCAAAATTTGGGTGAAATACCTTTGCAATTCATCATGGCAGATAATAATTTGGAAGATGGGAATTCAGGTAAGGCTTACCTGAGAATTGGAAGGGCTCACTCTTACCTAGAGGTGGGCCCTTCTCTGCCCTGCCGCCTTGCTCCTGAGCATTAGGTAACAGTGACACTCCTCTCCCAGCTCCACCTCTTCGCTCCACAGCTGGTGAGACTAGGTGCCTGTCTCCTGCCGTCTCTTCCTTCTGTTTCATCACCAGCCTCAGTTTTGGGCCCTGATGTTGGGGCATGTTCTGCTGGGGGTCTTTTTTTTTTCTATTTGGTAGATCATGGATCCTTCAATTTTGATGACATCTCTCAACTCTGGAAATATGTTTTATTTAGATTTTTATTTTGACAAATTTTATAACTATAGAAAAACATAAACAGTGATAAGCTAGACAGGGTGCCTCCCATCATTCCAAATGAACAGTTGTTAATGTTTTGCTGTATTTGCTTTGCTTTCTTTTTTAGTCCCCAATTACATTCTTCTCCTACCCTTCCTGAGAACAGCCACTTAAAATAATTATACAGCAAGTCCATTTTCGTACTATATAGATAGTATGATACATGTAGATAATAAACTGTAGATATAAGGTAATAAATAATCTTACAGTTTTTAACAATGCTTTATACATGCTTTCTTTACACCTTTTAAGGTCAATTTTGAGGTCCCACCATGTGATAGTAAAGATCAGGTACATTTCTTTTTGCCCTATCAAAGACATGCGCTCTACACTCATCTTTTCTGTGGATAGGCTTATAAGTCCTCCCTCCCTCTACCATTTTTCCTATTTCAAACAAAGCTGTGTGGACATTACAATTTTACTTGTGTGCACATGTAAGTTTATCTTGGCATACTCCTGGATGCAGAATTTTGCTAAGTTTTAGGGTATATGTGTTGTCAGTATGACCAGTGCTCCCATGTGGCTCTGAAAGAGCAAAGCCCCTTCTCAGTCTCCCCACTCTGAGGGAATGTGTCTATTTCCATATTTGCTGCCACTTGACAGTATTAATATTGGGTGTTTTAATTTCTGCTTACCTGGGGACCAAGAAAGTGTATTACTTTAATTTGCATGTCCTTGATTGCTTGTGGGGTTGAATATCTTTGCATGTAGTTATTGGTCATCTGTATTGCCTTCTCTCAGTCTCATTCCTATCTCTAGATTTCTGTAGACTCTGTTGATACATAAGCATTTCATGCTTTCTGGATCCTGAATCTTTGCTGTATACGGATTATCTTCTCCCAGTCTGTAGCTTGTCTTAACCTTCAGTTCAGTTCAGTCACTCAGTCGTGTCCAACTCCTTGCGACCCCATGAACCGCAGCACGCCAGGCCTCCCCGTCAATCACCAACTCCCTGAGTTTACCTAAACTCATGTCCATTGAGTCAGTGATGCCATCTAACCATCTCATCCTCTGTCATCTTTCAATCCTGCCTTCAATCTTTCCCAGCATCAGGGTCTTTTCAGATGAGTCAGCTCTTCACATCAGGTGGCCAAAGTATTGGAGTTTCAGCTTCAACATCAGTCCTTCCAATGAACACCCAGGACTGCTCTCCTTTAGGATGGACTGGTTGGATCTCCTTGCAGTCCAAGGGACTCTCAAGAGTCTTCTCCAACACCACAGTTCAAAAGAATCAATCCTTCGGTGCTCAGCTTTGTTTATAGTCCAACTCTCACATCCATACATGACTACTGGAAAAACCATAGCCTTGACCAGATGGACCTTTGTTGGCAAAGTAATGTCTCTGCTTTTTAATATGCTGTCTAGGTTGGTCATAACTTTCCTTC